ATGTCAGGTTTCCAGAACAGACAGTAATAGATGCTTCCTAGACGTTAAATGATCTCTGTGGAAACTTAATAGGATAAAGGTGCTTCCTCAAAAGGCTGGAGGGTGTAGCTTATTGGAAACATAAATAAAATATGCAAACACAAAGTAATGAAATATGCAATAGTGAAACAAAGCATGATTTCTTCACGCAAAAATCTTAAAGGTCACAAATGGCAAAACTTTGGCAATAGAGTAATACACTATTCTAAAAACAAACAAACAAACCCAGATGATCTCTTTCAATTTCCTTAGCTGCCCCTCGTCTCACATAAAAAAGAGAGCAAATTACACCATGCTTTAAAAAAAGGAAAAAACTTCCTAAATATTTTCTTTAAGTGGGATCTCAACAACAGTAGAATAATCAATTTTAACTCTATTATGTCATAAAAACATGAGAAATATTTTACAGAAATCACCTAGGTTGCAGGAAATGAGGAAATGTATTACTGTGCTGAAGCCCTGTTTGTCAAGGAACAGTTTTATCTTCCTATCACACGGTATCATTTCCATGGTGTGTGTATAATAATGGGTATGACAAAATAAATGGCAAAAGAAAGCAAGACAGTCTTACTATTCTGTGTTCTTACTATTTTGTTGCAGAAATAAAAGTAGGTCTGAAGAATGTGTGTTAGAATGCAAATAATATGGTCTCATGAGTGATTTCACATCTGCTTGTTGCATAGGGGATGGTACCAACTCTCTTCTGGGAAAAAAGGCACCAAAAACTAAATTACAGGAGAATCAGCTTAGTAGGGTATCAAGACTGGAATCTTTGTAAGACCAGGGAAAACATCGCTGATGTATTAGAAATACATCAAACTGGTGAGGGGAATTGATGTTACACAAGGCTTGGGAGCATATTCAGGTAAAAACTGATATGATGGAATGAGACAGGAGGTGAATTCAAAGGCACTGCAATGTGTGTAGATGTACAGAACATGGGGGCAACTTTAGCAGCTGCACATTGTATGAATGTGAGAACTGAAGCCCAGATGTCAGGAAGGCAAGATGGCAGATAAACACCTGGGTGAATATTTTCAGTATTTGGATACAGTGACATAATTCTTACTTATCTGTACTATATATTTTACTCTGTGATGCTAATATATTCTGATCCAAGTGTACAGAGTTGTGGGATTATAATATTTTAAAATATCTTAAAGCGAACTCACACTTCACAGCAGTGGAGTGAGTTCTAACAATTAATTGGACCATTTTATGTTCCAGGAAAACATCTAGTCATTGCATTTCTCATGAAGAGTCAAATTGTCCCAGAATCAGAGACAGTTTTAAAAATACAGAATTTGTATTAAAATAGGGGTGCAATAAGTATGTTCTGATTTTTTTTTTTTTAATGAATAACAGAAAACATTAAATCTTCTTAAAATGACATATACACTCAAGAGTTAAGGTCACCAGAATTTTTTTAAGGTTACAGAAATGATGTCAAAATTCCATTTAGAAAACAAAGGCTACCTCAAAACTGATCTTGAAAACTAGGGTAACTTTTAGGGTAACTCATGTGATACATGTGTAGCTCTCCTGGAAGTCTGAACCTACCCTCACATCGTTGTTTTCATAAATATGCTGTTTCTGTGCGCTGTGCTTCCTATTCCCTTGGGCCAGGGCCCTTGACATTAAATGATGAGGCTTTCTAAAAAAGTACTTTAAAAGAAAATGTTTGAGTGTTTTAATGTATTCCAGACATTTAAAATATTTTTAAATTGACCAAGCCTTTCTTTATGTTATTTTTGTAAATGTATGTTTAAAATAGTGATTACATTTTTTTTTTTAAAAAAAAGGTAATTTAAACAATTGGCAGCAGTAAAAAAGTGTCTGATAGGAAAGCTGTGCTAAATTATTAGAAAGAGTTATCTTCATTAAATGAGGTCAATCTGTGTAAATGCTAGCAAATATTCATATTGTGATTTCTTACACTGGGATATTCTTGGCAAATTAAAATTTCGCTTGCCTTTTTAGAAAAGGTATCTCCCTTTGAATTCATATTCGAATCTCTTATTCCTGCTTTTCCTTCTAAAGTCATACCCTAGCAGTGTCTTCAGTTTGCAAGCCTCTGAAACATTTTGCACGAAATATTTATACTGAGCTAGAAAATGAAATTGTTCTCTCTTTCTATGAAAGTTCATTCTTTTAAAATACTTGCCCCGGTAAATCTATGCCATCTAACTCTTACAGATTTTTGAATGGACAAATACCAGATGTGAGTCATCCAATAGTAATCAGTCTGTTTAAGCATTGAAGATTTGTTGCCATGCATCAGGTGTTTTACTTCTAAAAAATTGTTCTAGAAGGAGAAATGTAGGCCTGGTAATACTTTTCTCCTGTTATCTGTTCTTACAATTGGACTTTTATTTTTAAATTATCTGAAGAATAATTCGTCTCTTTAAAGAATTTCACAGAGAATTTCCACTTTCAAGAGTGCCTCTACCCTCAAGCTTTTGTGTAGGATTATTAAACACAGATAGCCACTTACATATTCCAGATGTTCACAGTGGTTCTGCTTGGTTCCTGACACTTTCAAGAGCTACTATATGCTCTGACATGAAATTAGGTGCCAGCAACTGAACAGAACTTGACTCAAACAGAAAACAATAGAGAAAAAAAATGTATTTTAGAGAAGGCTAATTCTGTATGGATACTGTATAGATCAGTATTAGTTTTTCTTCCATCCTTTGAAGGAATATCCTCTGTGGGAAGCAATGAAATGTAAGAGGGTCAGAATTGTCTGGCCAGGCTCTATCAGGTATTTCACTATGAGGAGGTTTTGGTGTTTAAAATGAAATTTACTCATCTGAAGACATTTGATGTTATGTGGGATTTTTATTTAGCAGAGTGATATGGCAACATGCTGAAATCAAGCAGCTATAGCCACTGCAGTGTACAGTGGGATCACAGCACCAATCTGATCCTCACTACTGGTCTTCATATCCTCACTGTCATGATGCTGGACAATGCTGGTGCCAGGAAGGAATATGTGAGTTAAAGTCAGCTCAAGCCCATTATCTTTTCAAAATTAATTTTGTGAATTGTTCAGTTTTATACTCTCAATGGGGCTGAGCAACATATGCATGTTTCCCTTGCTGGGCTGGCTGATTCAAGAAGCCATTCACAATCCTTTGATTAACTCAAGAATACACATTTGTACAATCAGTTAATCCACTGAACTGATAGAAGCATTTATCTAAAACTAACTCTCCAATCCCTTCTGTGTTAAGTTCAGTTTTCTTTGCAACAGCTGTGGTCAGCCCCTATGTTCTTCCCTCAGCTTCATAAGCCCATGACCCTTGCCTAACTCATGTGTTTTAGGGATTTATTGACCAGAAACCAAAAATTTTTATTTATTTATTTAGTTGATTTTTTTTTTTTATGAACAGGTTTATTTAAGAAAAGCGGATGTGGAAAATAAAAATGATAGGTTGACTAAATAAAGATCAAAAGAGTGGAAAAAGAAAAATGTGTATTTGTTTACACAGAAACGTAGAGGCAATTAGTCAAATGAATAGACACAGCCTTCATACCATGTGTACCTTGTAACACTATACAGGTGTAGCACTATACAGGTGCCAGTATGGAATAGTGGTGTATCTGGTCACAAAGGTAAAGAAGTAAAAGGGAAATGTATGCTTTTGGTTTTGTATTTCCTAGTCATTATGATGATCCATTAATAGGAGTTTTCCTTAGCTTCTGGGTTAGGGCTCATTCTGTCAAAGAAAAGTGTAAGTCAAGCTCTCTTTTTTATCCAGAATAATTTTTTAAAAGATATTTCTTCCTAATGGTCTTTTTAATGTTGTGTGTATATATATGCTATATATATATGAGACAGTAATGGACAAGGATAAAAAATTCTGTGTGAGGAGTAAATTCTCATTCCTGTTTTGCTACAGCTAATGGCAGGATCAGAAGCGCCAGATTTTTAGATAACATGAGGACTAGAAATGGCTAGTTCACAAAAATAACTTTCATTCTTTGTTTTTGCCCCAGATAAAAATGTGAACTCCAGAAGGGATTGATAGAGAAAGGTACAAGTACAGCCTGAAAGACTGCAAAACAACGTTGTCACACTGCCCACTTTTAAAGGAAATGTAACTGTAGAACAAGTTGGAAAACACAGAAAGCAAGTTTGAGTTGTTAAAATATCTTCCTGTGGTGTACCACCGTGTTCATTGTCATCATCTCACCATCTTGTCTGTAGAATAACAAAGACTTTTGTCAGTGTACAGAGCAGGATGCAGGCCCCAGCTCATGATCTGAGGCTTGTGGTACTCACTCAAAGTAAGCTGTGTATCTGTCATGGCTGTCCAATGCATCAGTGAAAAACATAACCTAAAGATTAATTTATTTATGCATGTATTTGGTGAGAGCTGTTCTGAAATGGCTGGTGATCAACTTGAAATCTAGTCTTGGCTTTTTCAGTAATAAGCTTCTCCTCTACTTGGAAAGCCCCATTTAGTTTTACTGCCAAAGCAGTAAGGTGTCTCCTTTTCAAAGTCAGATCTGATTTGATTGTATACAGCAGAGTTCTATGAAGCTTTCATAAGGCACTCTTATAATTTACCCATGTAATTTAAGGACCAAAAGCCTTTATTGTGTAAGTCCTAAAAATAGACTTTTCTACTTCTGTCCAAAAGTTTAATTTATAAATGTGGATCGAGATTCCTAATAATTTTCTATGCCAGGTAAAACAAACATCTAGAAAAATTGTTCATGAAAACCATGCCATGAGGAAGTTAAAGTAATGGATCAAACTAGTTCAACTTCTTAGAAGATTAAGATATTTCTTAGAAAGGTTACATTTGTTTTTTCTTTCATATTAATAGTATGAGAAAATATGAAGCAAAGAAAATTTTTATTACATATTACTCCATACACTGTTATTTTTCATATTTTCTTTTGAGCAGAATGGCTTAGGACCTCTCCAACACCAATTATATACAAGCTAATCAAGTTTTGGGGTTTTTTGTCTTTCTGGATTACAGATAAAAACAAGGTTAAATGAGGAGAAAAGGAAGTTGTAACTTTTCTTTCTCAATTTATGGCTCTTTTCTTTTCATTTTACAGTATGCAGTTTTCTTTTCCATCTGAGTCTTTTCCTGTTTATGCATATTTCTATGGGCAAGTTTTCCATTTGGTGATGTTGCCTTTAGAAAACAAACAAAAAAAGGCAATTAAAATATTTTAAAATTATACTGGCTGTACTCAGCTGCAATGTTACAGTGCATTATTGCTTTAGATATTTTCCTTTTAATTTTTAATAAGTTTTTTTATACTTGGCTTAGAAGTTAAAAAACAAGACATGGGAATTATTTGTCAGTTTTTATGCTTGAATTCAGAGCTGCCTTGCCTCCTAAAGTATTTGGAATAGTGGTGGCCTGTGTGTGCTTTCATACAGTTTGAAGCCATCTGGATAGTTCAGTATAAAGCTGAGAAGAAGAATTGTTGATGGACATCATGATACTGAAAAGGAAATGAAAGAGAAGATGGAGTATTGACAAAAGCAAAGTAATGCATATTAAGAAAAACAATTTAGTCTTTAGCTTATATGTGTGAAACCATAGGCTTTGTTACCACTCAGGAAAGAGATCAGAGAATGATAGTAGACAATTCTCTGAAAATCACAGAATTGTTAGGGTTGGAAGGGACCTCTGGAGATCATGAGTCAACCCCCTGCCAAGGGTCACCTAGAGCAGGTCACACAGGAACTCATCCAGGTGGGTTTCAATGTCGCCAGAGAGGGAGATTGTGTGACCTCCCTGGGCAGCCTGTTCCAGTGCTCTGCCACCCTCAATGTAAAGAAGTTCTTCCTCCTGTTGGGGTGGAACTTCTTCTGCTTCTGTTTATGGCCATTGCTCCTCATCCTGTTGCTGGGCACCACTGAAAAGAGTCTGGCACCATCCTCTCGGCTTCTGCCTTTGAGAGTTATTGATATGCATTAATGAGATCTCCTCTCAGTCTTCTTTAGACTAAACAGGTCCATCTCCCAGTCTCTACTTACAAGAGAGATGCTCCAGACCCCAGATCATCTTTGTGGCCCTCTGCTGGACCCTTTCCAGTAGCTCCTTGTCTTTCTTGTACAGAAGAGCCCAGGACTCCACATGTGGCCTCACCAGGGCTGAGTAGAGGAGGAGGATCACCTCCCTCAACTTGCTGGTCACACTCTTCCCAGTGCACCCCAGGACACCACTGGCCCTCCTGATCACCTAAGTGACTGTTACGATCAACAAAGAAAGAATAGAGAACCATGGAAAAATTGTAATGCTGGTCTTCGATTAACCATGGTACACCTGTGTCAGTCAGAAGGACTGACAAAAAGAACAAGAGTAGGTAAGGTATGCAGAGATGCCAAATAGATACAGTTGGCTTCTGCCTGAGGAGTTGCTAAATTTGCTAGAGCTTCTCAGTTGGCCATTGCGGTTGACAGAGATCTAGGAAGAAAACCACTGCTTTGAACAGATGAATAGAGTTGGAATTTGAATCGGAATACCCCCTTTGCAATCTTCATAGAGAAACTTGTACTATTGTACAGTTACACTCTGGAGCTATTTGCCGTCGCATGTTATGGACCCAGACTGATGTATGTGAAGAAAGAATACTCAAATGTGGAGAATAAGTACTTTGGTGACTGTTAAAAGATGAGGGCGTGGATGCAGCTTTAGCTCACAGGATCTCTGCATGAATTTCCAGCAAAGGCCAGGAATGGACAGTGGAGAAAATTCACTTATTGTCTCATCTGTGTATTCACCTTGGGAGAAGTGAATGTGGGCTGCATTTTAGAAGAAAATTAGTATTTCCTAACAGTTCTGCCATCCCTATAATAACTTCTTAGATGTCTGTGGACTCTTCAGAAGATGCAAGAACTAAGCACCTAAAACTGTGTAGAAGCACACATTAAAAAATTTGGTTTTGCATCTATGGCATACCTATGCCCTTTCCATTTTTAGACTTTTTCCCTGCTCTAAAGATTAAACTGCAGCAGATTGTTTCAAGGCAGAAAAGTAAGCTTAGTAGTCTATTCTGAACCATAAAAACACATTACTATGTATCAATAAGTATACTTATATTTTTAATATTATATATATATTTATATATTATATATATGTATACTTATTGATAACATATTTTTCTGGAGAAGCACTGGATTTTCTAATATGTAGATAGATTATAAACTTAACGAAAGACATGAAAAAATTTGAGTTACCTTTGGGTAAAATCCATTATAAACTGATTTGGTTTTATCCCATTATTTTTTCTGATGTCTTGCATTGATTTGTATTTGTATTGATATACACACACATGTATAGATATATTTATTCTCACTGTCGATGTCTCTCACTTGAGAAAAAGAAATTATCCCAGGCTTTTTTTTTTGAATTTGAGATTCCTGTTTGTTAACTGTCTTGTTTTGATTACTGCCATGTTTAAGAGTTGTTCATTCACTGACAACTGACAGGACTTGTTTTTCCTGGAAGTCATCTGTGACTCTCTTCAGAACAGCTTGTGCTAATTAGACTTTTAAGTGTCAGCTCATTGGAAAACTTTTTCCTCCTGCTTCTTAAGAAAAGCATCTGGTCTGCTAAAAAGTAATTTGTTAGATTAGTAATCAAGTGCAGTTAAATACTGTCCTTTATGCTCACTGGCTCACTGATTTACCAGTTCTTTTAAATACATTTTTAAAGTACTTTTTACTTGAAAAATACTTATGCTTGAATCAAAAGCCAGATGTATTAGGACATTAAATTATGTTTCTAATGCAGTGGCTTGCTAATTCTGTGTAACATCAATAATTCAAATTAAGGTCATGCTATCAGGAACGTGTCACTGCATGATACCTTCTGAAGGCTGATTATTTTTGAAACTTTATGATTCAAATCATCACGAGTTTCTCTGCATGTTTTCTATCCATTTCAGGATTATCTATATTTCATTAGTGGTTTGTACTGTTTTTTATGGAACTTGGTGCAGAAACTTCAGAAGAAAATTATGTACATAAATATCACTTTTATTCATAGTATGTGTTTAAGCAATATCAGTTGTATGCAGAATAATAATTTAATAAAAATAGATCCATCATTCATGAAGTTCATGAGCATTTTCAATATTCTTGAAGTTATATTTAATGTGCATTCAACAGTAATAGTGTGCTTCATTATTTTACCTAGACAACAGGAAGTGCAGTAGATTTTGGGAATCTGGGCAGTTTTACTGGTTTTCGTCTTGATCAAATTCGACAATTTTTATTCCCTGATGGATAGATAGAACAGCAAGGAGTATGCTATCCCTGGATTCCTGAGATTATAACATACCTCTTCATTAAAAAATGCTCTAAAATGGACTGTTTTTTTCGTGAGCTTTGCTGAACAAATCTATGCACTTTTCAGTTCTTTCAGCTTGTGTTTTCAAGTGTTGGAAACAGAACATACATATCTGTTTTTTATTAAATTTTTATTTCATACAGACTGGAAATTCAGGTAGACTCTGGTCTTTATCAGTAGTACAAAGGATATCTGGGTGATCACACCTATCCCTCTTCATCACAGAATATGTTACAGGAACTTTGTTCTGTAATTTTTATGGTCATTATTCCCTTATAATCTAGAAAAAACAAATTATGTTGGGCAGAACATTACTGTTCCCAAGAGCTGTGAAATAGCTCAGGAATGCATAGAGGTGATATCCAGGTGATCAACAGATTAAACTGGTGGCATGTGGAAGGGTCTCTTTTGTTTTAACAGCATCTAAAATTAGCAAGTAGATTTTGGAGCAGGTATGAGGTCTGGGATTCAGAACAAGCACACAGTAATAGCATGGCAAACCAACATTGAATGACTTGTGAAACCAAGGAAGTTCAGAGGAAAAGAAATTTAAATTGCCTAGGTAATTAATTTGTGTGATTCAGATTTTTAGAATATTAACTCTATTTCATTAGATCACTGCAAAAAGAAAAATAATAACCATTCTATAGCCTTTTAGAATGCTCTATTACACATCCAGACATATTGAAGTCATACATGCGTGTTATAGGTAAAGCTGACAGACCTGCTTGGATACTTTAGTTGGTGATGTATTTTGTGTAACATCCCTGTCAGCTGAACTACTGCTTTTTAACAGAGAAGTTGTAAAGGTGTGCCTACTTTGAAAGAATAAAGAGTTTGGTGATTTGATGAGGACGTTCATTAATAAACCAGAAAATTAACATAGTATGTAGAATGAAATGATGATGTCTACAGGTAGCAGTAATGGCAGTAGTAAGAAACCACTGCTATGACTGGGAAAAAATGTACTTTCCCGAAACAGCCTGTATTTCATTTGAATATTTACATGTTTGATAAGAAAATGTAGTCCCTTTTGTGATTCTTCTAAGACACAATGGTAAAGCTTTACTCTCTAAATTTATGTGGCATGTATTTTCTTCTGAATTAACTTGAGAAACAGTTATTCACAGAGGGAAGTAGTTTGAATATTTTACATTTGACATGTATTCAATCCAGGTTTGGGGGTTTTTTGTGTGGGTTATTTTTTTGTTTTGTTTGAGGTTTTTTGTTTGTTTTTTTTGTTTTGTTTTGTTTTTTGTTTGTTTGTTTCAAAACAGCTTTCTTTATAGTTAAATAATAGGATCCTTCCTTAATTTGTCAGTGAGATGACGTTACTGCTTTCTGTCCAAGACTTTTCAGATACCAAGTGTTTTATTTGAAGCAGTGTGTTACAGGGTTCACCAGGAATACCTTAACAAGGGAGGAATTGTTCATTGCTTTTGTTTTGGGGTTGGTTTTGTTTTTTTTCATGTGGATTTAACCTTGGAGCAGTTTGAGCTGTGCTAATAAGCCACAGGAAGCTGCAGTGATTATAAATATGTTTGAAGAAGAAATTCCTTCTCTTACCTAATTCATAGACTACTAAGCAAGAGCAGCTGCTTACTGGAGTCAGTTTCTTTTTCACTACATGTGAAATTCATAATCAAGGACAAGATGTGAAATGAGTTAACAGCTATTTCCTGATTTACTTGCTGATTTACATCCAGTAGCTGCTGCTAAGTGTGGCTTGCGCATACGAGCTTGGCTTTGTTTAATAAGGGAAAAGTCATAAAGCATTAATTGCTTTTGATGCTTTTGGGCATTTCTACAATTAGAAATCTAATTTAATATTAGGGGACTCCTTTTCCTTTTAAAAGACTAAAGAGTATAGTAGTTTTCAGTTAGTAGTGAGAATCAACAGGAAGATAGAGGTTTGGGAATTCTCTTTCTGTAGATCCCAGCAAGAAAATTTTATCCAACTGCGAATGGCCATCATCAGTAAGTGTCATGATTGAACCCCAGCTGACAACAAAACACCACACAGCTGCCTGCTCTCTCCTTGCACAGTGGAATGGGAGGAAAGAATTGCAAGGGTAAAAGTGAGGAAACTCATGGATTCAAATAAAAACAATCTCCTAATTGAAATAAAAATAATACTAATAATGATAATAATGAAAAGGAAAATAACAGGGAGAGATAAATGAAAGCCAAAAAAGACAAGTAATGCAACTGAAAACAATTGCTTGCCACCAACTGACCAGCCCTTTTTTGTATCCCAGCTGACTATTATCCCCACTCAATTTTTCTTCCTTTTTTGGAAACAAAGAGTAAAATTTGAAATATTCTGCCTTATTCATTTTATGAGTGTTTTGTTCAGTCCTAAACAACATTTTTTGTCTAAAGTTCTGTGTCCCACAGCTTTCAGCCAGTTCTGTTGAGAGCGACCCCGCCAGAATAGTGATGGGGTTACTACTTGAATTTAATGTTGTGGATGAGGCGTTGTGCTCACAGACTGACAAACACTTGGACTGTTGAGAAGAATGACTTTTATCTTTTTAACTCAGAATGATAATTATGACTAAATTTCAAATACTGTCAAACATTTCAACTTTGACCTTTACATGCAAGCATCCAGCAAACGTGTTGAGCCACAGGGAATCATTCCATTGAAAGGAAGAGGGCCAAACACTTGAAACAGTGTTTTGATTGCTTACTCTGAATTTTCAAATGACTGATGACATTAGGTCACCAATAACTGTATTTGTGCTCTGAAAAAGTTTGCCATTACACAAATTAAACTGCCTGTTCCTCAAGCTTTTACAGTTACAGACATTCTGCTTTTTAGAAGCTGAATTGAACTCGAACTCAAAACTTTATGCTTAGAGGTTCTTAAAAAAAAAAAAAAAAAAAAAACAAAACACAAAACCCCCCAAACTAAGGTATTATATAGTAGAGGCATTATAGCCTCTACAATGAATGTGTTTGTCAGGGTGCAGTCTCCTATGAACTCTTCTATGAAATCTGACTCTACATTTTTAAAATCATTAACATGCTGAACCCTTTATCAGTACTTAGCGGTGATAAATGTAGGGGCATAGCTCTGTGCTTTGCACTCATTTCTTCTGAGTCTGTCAGAGAAAATACTGGTTCAGACTTGTGCCTTATTGTTGCAGACATCTATTTGCATTTACAACAGTATTAATAATCATGCATGTGTTCTATCACATCTCATTAAGGTACCTAGAAATGCTTTTAAAGAATGCATTTCCTTACATGGCAGTCTATGTAATCATTACTGTGAGGTAATATTACCACTGAATACAATTTATTTGCTATCTTTGATACAGTTTTGTGCTAAAGTCAATTGTTCAAGTAAGTAAACCTTTATCTGATATCTGTTTATATATTTGGATGGCTCTGACCACAATAAGTTTTCAGTCGTGTTTGGGGTCAATTATGCCATAATATATACAGTTAGTAATAACAAAATAATTGAATGTGGTGATTGTGTTTCCTAGGTATAGCATATCTGAGTGGAATGTGCAGTGAAAAACGAAAATGTATAATTGCAGAGGACAATGGTCTGAATCTCGCTTTTACAATTGCCCATGAAATGGGTCATAAGTAAGTATGTGGACAACAAAGCCTACTATCCATTTGCATGCAATGCTGCTATGATTTGACTACTCTGATTGTGTGCTTCAGTTTTTCCTTTTTTCTATTAGGAAGGAATAATTTGGAAGACAGTGTTTCTGCTAATAACAACTTGTATTGATATATAGTATATAAGTTAAGAAAATATCTACAATTTAAAGTAAACCAGAAATCTTTAAAGCTGCAAAATAAATAGATTAACTGGAAAGACTGACACTGTCTAGAGGACAAACAGGTGCCCCTTAGATGTCTTTTCTTTTCAGATTGTGATATTGTGTATCAGATTCAGCTCTAACTGCTGCATAGGCCAGGCTCTTTAACCCTTGTTGCATTTGTTTGTGAACTTGAAATATCTTCATGGCTTTTCATTGCTTTTGAACTACAACGGAGAATGGATTTCTCATGGTCTTCCTACAGGGACATAAAATCTAAATTGCTGATATATGAATCCTGGGGGAAAAAATGTGAAATGGCTACACCATGAAATTTCAGAACTTTCAAATCACTTCACATTAATTCAAATAATTATGAAAAAATAAATTCTTATAGTATCCCAGCCATCATTTTCTTACAGTAATAATGGCATTTGGATGTCCTTAGAGACTTCCTCACAATCTGCGGGTTCTGTAACAGACATTTTAGAACAGTGGAAATAAAGAATAAATGAAATCTTGTGTCATAATAAAAGACAAGGTGTCATTTGAACCGCACATTTCCTCAAGAAATTCAACCTCATCCAGTCTAGTAACAAACCACATTGAAAAAACAGGGACTACCTCAAAAGTGAAAGAATAGGTAGCCTGAGATATACAAGCAGTGGCCACGAAAAAAAGAAAGACTGCAAAAGACACAGAGGCATTCAGCTTGATCCTTGCTTCATTATGGAATCAGAGTCCTCAGCTGTTGCAGTCTGTTGCAATCTGAGGTACAGTGGTCTTGCACCAAAGAGCATAAGGTGATGTTTTAGAGACATTTGTTTTTTCTGCGTGACTGTCTCTGTCTGCCAGGTCATCCCTGGCAACGGCAAAGAAAACACTAGAAGTACTTGACCCTTTGCAGAGAGACAACATAAAAATACTGGAAGACAAACATTTAAATGGAGATTCTATTGAAAAGGACCTCAGTAGATTCAAATGTATCTTGAGTATTTCTTGTAGAGATTTGTCTTGCTCATTCTTAACAGTCTCAGAAATGCAGGTTAAGTGATCATGATAAAGATCAGCCATAAATCTTTTCTTCTTTCAACACATCATCTTTTCTAGACAATTTTCACAAATTCTTTTTGAATCTTAAAGTCATTTAACTATTACCTACTTTTTTTTTGTGTGTGTAATGTCTTTAATCATTCTAGTTGCTCTTATGGAAAGAGTCCAGTCCAGCAACAGAGAGAAAGTAAAAACTCTCTCAAAGACTTTACTTCTCAAAATATAAAGAAAAAAAAACTTTTTATTTTCTCCTTCGGTACAGCAAATGTTATTCTTGCCCATAAATTGTCATTCAAATAGACTCAAAACTTCTGCAATATAGAGTTTCATTGATCAGCCAGAGAACAAAACCAAATACATTCCCAGTTGCCATTGTATTGATTAATATAAAAATTCCGATGCTTAACCAGACTTTCAGTGAAAAACTTCTTCCTGATGTCCAACCTGAATCTCCCCTGGAACAGCTTAAGGCTATGTCCTCTTGTCCTGTCACTAGTTGCCTGGGAGAAGAGATAATTATATTGAATACTTCTGATACACGGATGTTTCTTAAGTGTTGTGTTGTTGAATTTTTAGTTTTTCCAATTAAAGCAGAAGTATTCATGATTAAATACAACGGCAAACTAAACCTTACTTTGGAATATGAAATGTCTTTGTTCTATCCATGTGTATCTGAAAGCAGATGATACTTTAATAACACTGAGAAATTAACGTTGTACGTCAACAATTGATTTTTGAGCTCCATCTCTGAAATCAGAGATTAGAAACTATAACATGGTTTTGTTAAAAAAATCCTATTTATTAAATTTAATAAGCTATTAGGTAATTGTATAATGAGGTCATATTACAGAATAAAATCAACAACAATGAATTAAAAGACATTGTCTCCATGTGGAGAACAGAGAGAAGAGTGAGAATGCTGTTATTATGGTTATCAAGTGGCACACTGTCATTTTACTTACATGATGGCTTTCTGTGGGATATGGCTCCTTCTGATGTGTGGAAATGGACTTTAAAAGTCATGTCAGCTAGTGGAGAGAGACAGTGGTGGAATTTCTCAGAATCAATTTTATACACATCCTCATTCTTTCCCTGGTAAGCGTTTTATGAAATATGAAATGTACCTGTTATTAAAATTCAGGATATTCTACCAGGTATTTTCTAGTTCCAAACAGGGAGTCTGTGAAATTTCTGAATCACCTACTTAGTTGTTTGTAAGCAAACAGCATATATTCTTTGTGACAATTTAAAACAGTTGTATGAAATTTAGTAGAACTTCAATAAAGTTTTGAATGGGAGATAAGGAAATGCTAATGGAGAGTCAGTTGCTCTATGCATTTTTCTTATCACAGTGCAAAATATGATTGCAGAATACAATAAAATCAACAAGAGTAATAAAAGCAAGGGTCTACCAGTCTTTGTGAATGGGATACTAATGTGGAGTAAGAAATATCATTAAAGTAGCTGAAAGAAGAGCTGTGTGGATATTTATAAGATTAAAGTAGAATTATACAGTTGAACTTGTGTTTAGATGAGGATCAATATTAGCACATAGAATGTAAAGATATTAATTTGATGTGGTAGAAGATCTTACGTCTTGAAAATCACCCAGTATAATTAGAAATTTCAGGAGCGGTAGTGGTCACTTCTACTGATAAAACTGTGAACAATAACATTCATTTTAGTAAAGAACATTAAAGCATTTGACACGTGACATTTTGTCTCAGATGTTAATTCAAAGTATTTATTTAGCATTTATTTTGATCCCTTATTGTTTGACTATCAATGAATGAGACCTTACTTCATAATTGGGTGGATATGCAGACAGACCACCCACTGTTTACATTTTAATTACTTTGCTATCTTAAGAAAGAAGTGTAGAGAGGTTTTACAGGCTAGTGCACTGTTTTTCTCTTCCGTAAATACCTATCTGGGGGGTAAACCAGGAATTTTGAGTGTCTTACCTCTCAGTCCAGGAACTTCTCAGAGGTTGGCTTCACCAGGACAGAGATTTGGAGACTTAATTGGAAAAAAAAATGGAAGAAAACTCTTTGAGTACTTGGTCAGTGGCAGCAGCCTTTTTTAAGAAAGACGAAAGAGTCCCTCCCCTCCCATGTGCCTTCCCCTTTTCTGGGACAGACTTCAAAGGCAGAGTTTGTAATTCCTACTGACTCATGATAAGCGTGGCTTGCTTTTGAAACCAATCCATATTAGAACTGTGATTGTTGGTATCTGTGTTGACTGGTTACAGTTTTCATTCCTGAAAACAGACTTCAGATGAACAAGCCATGATTTGAATCATACTGCTGAAATTACCTGCTTCTACAGGGCCTTTGTCTCCCCTCATGAGTTAGGGAACTTCTATCCATTCAGCAGATTGTACTGTTCTTATTTGAATAATTTAATGACATTTATTTTACATTCCAAAATGTAGGATGAGGGGGTTTTTTGTTGTTGTTGTTAAGTTGTTTTTTTTAAGAATAAATCAGAAAGAAAAGGAGTGACACTTAAATGCTGGTTTACCACAAAGGAAGAAAAATGCCCTGTAACTGAGTGCAGTTTTCTGATCTGAGAAGGCAACCAAATCAAGTTTTATGAGTGCTGAGAACTTTTTAATTGATTTAGAATTGAACCATTAATGAACTAATATATGATCTCAGGACAGTAGACCACAGTATGAAATTATGAGGTAAGCAATTTTTGAAGTTGAAAAGCTGTTTTCTGCAGGAATAAGTGCAGATGTAGTAAGTTTAAGACTAGGTTTGAAAAAAAAAAAACAAACTGAAGGTGGTTTTCTTGTAGTTCTTGCATTTCAGAAATGTCTTGGTACAAGTGCTGTTCCTTTGCAAATGCCTTAAATGGAATAAGGTGTTTCCCAAGTTATTCCTGCAGCCTTTTACTCATATTTTTTATTGGAGTGAAAGAGTGAAAATAGAAAATTTTTAGCTTCAATGTGACTAGATTTTATTAGTGGTTTTAATTATTTTTTGCCCTGCTTCAGGCCTTCTCTTCTAAAATAATAGAATTTTTAAGGCTCAGACTTTTTTTTTCCCTCAGTAACACTGACTAATTCATTTCTTTGTAATTATAAACTTAAGAGCCAATAGCATTTCTGAATTTGTTGGTCTAGGAGGCTGGGAAATTTGATTTCTTCCCACCCACAAAGGCTCTTTCTTTTTCTCTCTTTTTTCAGGTTAAGCTATTCTGTAGTTGCTGTACAGAGAGACAAATGCCTTCAAATTCAAATACATCCCCTTAAAATTGCTGATATTTTTCTTGGTTTTTGTATAATTCATATGCTAGCATGAAGGAGACAGGCTAGCAAAATTTTTGGACCCTATCATTCCAAGCACGGGAACATTCTATTGTGAGAAAATTCCTTCAGGGTTATAAGCATAAAAAACAAGTGACTAAATTTCTAGAAAGTATAAATGAATCTCTAGGTATATCTGTCTTTTATATGCCATGCATAGCATTTCTCTTAAAGTAGATCTGCGTAAGAGAGATACCATGATGTCATGTATTAAGCCAACCTGATTTGTTAAAATAATTAATGACTTAAAATATGTTTGCAAAGTGCAGGTTACTTAACCAAGGGTATATATATTGATCTGACATGTTAGGATAGTTACTCCATTTATTGATAATTACACTTTATTCAGTAGTAGCCATAATATCACTATGGGGTCCCTTAGTCTCAGGGCCTTTTGCTTCCCAGCATCTTCACACAGGTTATCTTGTGGTCCTACAATGTCAGGCATTCCCGTGGCATTGACTACTGGAAAAGAGAGAAGCTGCTGCAGGACTGTTGTGTCACTGGAGGCTGTGCTGTTAACCTATTCCCAAATAATCTACTTGCATTCTTCTCTCTCCCAAAAATCCCCATGGGCTACGAGAGCATTGGATAGAAGGTGAAGGGGAAATGCTTGTCATTGTGGCCTCCTTCCAGCTCCACAGAGTCTCTCGTTTTCCCCCCTTTACTTCTTTCCTTAATTTTTCTGTCCTTTTTGGCTAATGGTTTAAAGATAGGTTTCTCACAGAATCACAGAATATGCTGAACTGGAAGGGACCCATAAGGATCATCACGTCCAACTCTTGGCCCTGCACAGGACACCCCAAGAGTCACACCATGTGCCTGAGAGTATCATCCAAATGCTTCTTGAACTCTGTCAGCCTTGGTGCTGTGCCCACGGCCCTGGGGAGCCTGTTCAGTGCCCAACCACCCTCTGGGGGAAGAACCTTTCTCTAATATCCAACCTAAATCCTTCCTGACATAGTTTCAGGCCATCCTCTCAGGTCCTGTCTCTGGTCACCACAGAGCAGAGATCAGTGCCTGCCCCTCCTCTTCCCCTCCCAAGGAAGTTGTAACTGCAATGGGATCTCCCCTCAGTCTCCTCTCCAGATTGAACAGACCAAGTGCCCTCAGCTGCTCTTCACACGGCTTCCTCTGAAGGCCCTTCACCATGCTCGTTGCCCCCTTTTGGACGGTGTCTAACAGCTTCATATCTTTCTTACATTGTGGTGCCCCAAACTGCACACAATATTTAAGGTGAGGCTGCCCCAGGTCAGAACAGAGCAGGACAATCCCCTCCCTGGACTGGCTGGTGATGCTTTGCCTGATGCCCCCAGGACAGGGTTGGCCCTCCTGGCTGCCAGGGCACTGCTGGCTCAGATTCAACTTCGACCAGGACCTCCAGGGCCCTTTCCATGGCACTGCTTTCCAGCCTCTCATTTCCCAGTCTGTCTGGACATCCAGACTTGCCCCATCCCAGGTACAGAATCCAGCACTTCCCCTTGTTGAACTTCCTATGGTTGGTGATTGCCCAGTTCTCTCATTTGTCTTGGTCTCTCTGCAGGGCCTCCCTGCCTTTGAGGGAGTCAACAGCTCCTACAAGTTTTGTATCATCTGCAAGCTTGCTTAGTATCACTTCCAAATCCTTCATTGAAGTCACTTATGAAGATGTTGAAGAGTACAGGGCTCAAGATGGAGCCCTGTGGAACCCCACTAGTGACAGGCCTCCAGTCTGATGTCACCCCATCCACTATTACCCTCTGTGCCTGACCCGTGAGCCAACTGCTCACCCACCACATGGTGTGTTTATCCAGCTGAGCTGGACATTTGGTCCAGAAGGATCCTGTGAGAGACATCAGCTGGCTTCCCTTGGTCTGCTGGGTGGGTTACCTTGTCATAAAAGCAAATTGAGTTTGATAAGCAGGACTTTCCTCTCACGAAGCCGTGCTGGCTGTGACTGATGACTGCATTGTCTTTCCGGTGTTTTTCAATACTTCCCACAATAATCTTTTCCATGTCTTTACCAGGCACTGAAGTGAGACTGACAGGCCTGTAGTTTCCAGGGTCCTCCTTCCTGCCCTTCCTGAAAATCGTGACAATGTTCACCAGCTTCCAGTCAGCTGGGACCTTTCTAGGTTCCAAAGACCACTCAAAAATCATTGAGAGAGGTTGTGCAATGACATCAGCCAGCTCTTTGAGGCCCCACAGATTTGCAGGGATCCAGCTGGAGCAGCAGATCCTGCCCAATTTCAGGGTTGACTGGGAGTTGATCATTCTCACAGTCGTGGTCCTCCAACTCAGGGCACTGAGACCCCCTTGATCCATCATCCATGTTGAAGACAGAGGCAAAGAAAGCGTTAAACATCTCTGCCTTGTCTCTGTCTCTGTTTTTGAGGTGACTATCCTCATCCTGTAATGAATTATATTTCTCTGCTACCTATTGCCATTAATATATTCGAAAAAACTCTTTTTATTGTCCCCTCAGCTTCTTGCCAGCTTCAACTCCAGTTGAGCTCTGGCCACATGAATTTCCCCCCACCCTGTAGATATGGATATTGTCCCTATCTGTAGGGACAGAAATATCCATATATTCAGGTAGTTGGATACAGAAGCAGCCTGACTGTTAGAGATGTTGAGCTTTGAATATTTTGACTAGTTTTCATCATCACTGAGATTTTTGTTCAAAATAAAGCCAACAGAAGTGTAGACAGGGGAGCCTAACAGTTTGAAAAGCACAGCTGCTGTTTGCAAAATTGAGCTTTGTAATGATTGTAATGCGCAACAAAGTATAAGCAGTCTTTTTTCCCGTGTATGTGTTTGTGTTGTTGACAGCTTTACAGAAAAATGGCTATAATTCTCTGGATTTTGTGGATAGCTACATAAAACATAGGCATGCCTGGAGAAGGGAAGGCTCTGGGGAGATCTTGTAGCACCTTGCAGTATCTAAAGGGGGCCTACAAGAGCCTCCCTTTTACAGGGGCATGTAGTGATAAGACATGGGGGAATGGCTTTAAACTGAAATTGAGTAGGTTTAGATAAGATGTAAGGAAGAAGTTCTTTACTGTGAGGGTGGCAAGGCACCAGAACAGATTGCTCAGAGAGGTTGTGGACTTCCCATCTCTGGAGTTTTTCAAGACCAGGCTGGATGGGGCTCTGAGCAACCTGGTCTAGTGGAAGGTGTCCTGTCCATGGCAGGGAGTTGGAGCTCATGATCTTCAATGTCCCTTTCAATGCAAACCATTCTATGATTCTATGATTTTTATATTACTTTTGTATTGTTTTGATATCTGTGAAATTTTCTATCCTGTTTGTTAAAAAAATGAAAATTCACAGGGAAATTTATCTATAAAGCACAGTACTTACTTAATAACTTGCTTTTCTTAAATTTACTCTTCACAAGGAAGGTACAACACCTTCCTTTTTCCTTTCTACTTGCTTTATTGATTCAATAAAAAGTAATAGGAGGCTTTCACTTTATATTGCATTTCAGCATTTCATATTCTCTATTTCAAACAAGATTTATAACAGAATCATGCCAGTATTTTCATCACTGCCTTTTCTTTTTCAGATAGACTAGGAAAAGAATCCCTGAGGTAACTGTATTAAACTATTGCAGTTAAAAAACCCACAGTGCAGTGACTGGTCTTTAAAAAATTTTCTTTTTTTTTTTTTTTAAATTAAGTCGCTCCCTTTTTTTTAATACTATCTTTTTTTTTTTTAAACTAATGAAGT